ATCAAAGCAGTGACCAAATGACCGGCCGCGGCCAATAATTATGTGCACGTTCCTACTCCGCGTCTTTTTGAGATGCATGGAAAAAAGCGCCGCAACTCTAGGGGGGCTCGTTTACCTCATGGAACGAAAATATAGTCGCGCTATTGGAGGCGAGCGTTGTCCATTATGCGCGTGACGCTGGTGTCTCGAGCGGGAGTATAAGATTGAAGCAACGCTTATAAGAATAAAGGTATGTTGTATCCTAAAAGGAGTCCATCTCGCACGTCACCATCATGACGACTAGGACCCAGAATGCGCATATGATAACAACTACATTTTGTACAATGGCGTCGCGTGCACACAAACACACACACACGAACACACACATGCACGCACGCACGCGACGCGCGCGCGCTACGCAGCGCAGCGGCACGCACACACACACACACACAACGCTACCGCGAGTATAATTGTAGTCCCGTTAGTTCTTACTTTTAATGTAAAAAAATGGCAACAAACATTTTACAAATTTTACCATAGAAAATTTGTGACGTGTCTAGTCGTTACAATCTTCATCACAATAATATCACTGTTGAGTTAAGTATTTTTATCTTTGGGGACACCAAAAACTAAAATACTTACTACTAAATCTGTGCTATGTACATGTCCTCACTGGGGTTACAAGTGCAGACTTACCTAGGCTAAAATACCCTTGTCCTGAAAATTCGAGGGGGGGGCGACCGCCCCCTGTGCTACCGACCCCCACTGACACCTACAGCACTAGAATCATCTCCCCCTAAAATTTTGATAAAACGTATATTTTACTGAGAACGCTAAAACGGTACAAAAAAAGTGAGAAAAACAACCAGACTTTAACCAAAAAGTGTGATGAAATTGAATTTTCCCCATTCAATCCCCGTGAAAATTCAATATCCCAACTCTCCATAGGTCTATTCTAATTTTGAATAAGGCAATTTTGATTTAACTTTGGTGAGCAGCGATAAGACGTGATTCGGGAATTTTGAAAAAAAAACGTATATGGGGAATGCGTCTAAAATTAACCGTCTGAGTTCCAGTAAAATAATGTCATTCTTGGAACGAGTTACAGACATTTTACAGTAGATGTATATATGTCACTTTCCATTTGTGTAATAATACATTAGGAGAGTATGAATAGCGATGACGGATTTGTAGATAAATGTTCAGCATTTATTGTCTGTAAAATATGAAATTTTTCCCCATTTTCCGCCTGAAAGTAGGGGGATGCCTGTACACACCATCCCCACCTCAATAAGTGGAGGGATGTATCCCCCCCCCCCCCGCTATCTACGCCCCTGCATTCACCTATATATGTATTTTCAAGGTTACATCACCTCCCATCCCCATGCCCAACCGCCATCGCGTTACAGTTTACAGCCTCTGCTGTGCTATTTCAGTATGGTCATTCAATTTTTATTTCAGTACTATGGCAAGCCAGTTTTGTATATGATATATTATTAGGGTACTGTATGTATAAGTTAATCGTACTGAATGGTTTTATATACTGCACTATGAATATTGTGGCGTTTTCACCATACGTCATTCAATATATTATATTGTGGTACCTGCAAAATGAGAACTGACATCGGAACAGTTATTCTCGTTCAAAGAAAAAAACGAATACACAGTTCATAGCCCTAAATCTGCATGGTGATTGGACGCGCCATTCGAACGGTTATGTTATGTTGTGTTATGTTCTTATACTTGCCGGTGTTCCATATACAAGATATGGTTACATAATAATATCATATATAGCCTATGACAGGATAAGGTAGGCCTAATGCATCTGCATGTAGATATCTACCTGCATAGATATGAAGTTGAGGTTTCGTTCACTAGTTAGCCTCAGCCCAGCTACTACACCAGAGCCCCACACCAGGTCGATCTCTTTGCGGACACTAACCTGTGCGGTCACTGCCAGTGTGCGGTACGTCCTCAGTGGTTCTTTTACGTAACCGATACGCCGTTCTATAGACGTGGTTTCTCTGTCTAACACCTACTAACCGAAAGCACCAAACGCGTTCTTTTTGAATAGGTGCCCGTTCTATATACACGCGACCACTAACACATAGCAAACGCACGATCAAATCATACAATCCATAGATACAACATATCGCATTACATTATTATTATTGTTACGCATGTTAAACTGTTTTCTGCGAAGATATCGATGTCGCAGCCGTGTTCACCTTGGAAACATCCTTGTGTAAACCGTGTAGCGTATACGTCATGTATTCGAGGATAGAATTGACGACGAAGCGAAACGTCTGCCTAAACGGCGTCTCAATGTCATCACATTGTGCCACCACGCGGTGGACGGTTGGTGACATGCAGGTGATGCAATAATAATGATAACGAGAACAGGTCAATGCGAAGCTATTTAGGAATTGGTAGGATAACGCGGGGATACGTGATTGATGCGTATGTACGAAACTGTTTGTGCTTATTTTGACATAAAAATAGCACTAACGAGCAATATTAAATAGTCTCACTGTTTCACCGTGACTGAAAATTCCATGATTGTATTTGGTAACAGTTAGACAGATGATTGGCCAACTTATCCCACACTGCCGAGCACGCACACGTACTTACAAACTAGGGGGTTCGGGTGATAAATTTAGCAATTCTGAACCTGTCGGGTTATTTATCACGTTTTTTCTGTCTCCACGTCTATTCACTGCGCACATATCTAGACATCCAGCTACCATTCGTCGCATTCATTCAATCATTCCCCTTCATGTCTATCTGTTCATCCATCAACTATTCGTCCATCTACTCGCACGTACGTCATACCCATTCATCAACTCATCAATCCGAACATGCTCGCACCTGCCGCGGTCGCCATATAATGCGATTTGGGAGAATGACAACGTCAGGAGGGGCAACCACTCGAAGTAACACTTTTTACGGGGTGATAGAGCGCTCGGTAGAGTGATCGGGAGAGGCACTCGACCTGCTGCATTTCAAACACCAAACAGTGGCTAGACGCCGCCTACTGGCGATATATCGGCTTTTAGAAGTGATGTGTGTTTGTGGGTCACCGGCAAGTCCCGTCGTGGAAACGCAATTGAAATCGCACGTGGCTTTTCGCCGGTTCACAGACTAAAAACCCGAAGTGGTGTTGTTATAATTTATAATAGGAGTTTGTTGACCGCTGAAAACAATGCGTTATATGCTGTCGCCCTGTTAGGATACGCGCTCATGTACATGCACACATACACGCACACGCACACCTCCACATCCCACACACGTAGACACGCGCGCGCACGCACGCAAACATGCACACACGCACGCACGCACGCACGCACGCACACTCACGCACGTGCGAACAGAGGGTAAGCTAGCTATAGTCAACCCACTGATGTGTCCTGTGTCCGTTTGTTGCAGTTAGTGTGTATGTGCATGTGTGCGCGTGTATGCGCCCGTTCGCTCGTGCACACCTGTGTGTCTGTAACCAGGCGAGCCTCTCAGTGAATGTAATTTATAATTAGGGCTGTTAAGTTAGCGACATTTAAGACTCTTTGATTGGACGGTCGAATATGATTCATATTGATATTTACTGCATGAGAGGTCACAATTACTCATTGAGTGCATGGTAACTGGTTGACAGATATCCAGAGGGCGTTTAAAAGTATACATGCATATAGTGTATATGGTAGATATCTATTATTAAATGAAGTTAAAGAGCGCCGTTGACGGCAGTTCTTTTACAGATTAACTGGTTGTTTAATTGCAGGGTTTACCTGGCTATATAGACGGAGCGTCAGTCAAAAAACATAAGACGTGAAACACTCTTCCGCTATAAAATGCCAAATGCAATACCCGTTTTGACCAAAATTTGCTCGATATCATGAGATAAAATTATATCAATTCCTAGAAACTTAAACGCTCAACTTTCTCCCGACACACGGCTACAATCACCTGATAACCGTTTCGCGTAGTTATCTATGAGCCCTTATCTACATTATAATTTTTTTATTCATACTATAATAAATTTCATATGTAGCATTTTCTGGTTCATGTACTGTGTTTTATTCTGTTCTACTTTATTTTAATAGAGGTTGTGTTTCAAATCTATACGAATATATACGTTCATGCTCAAAATGACTATCCATCCTCATGTTTGTAACATCGATTAAGAGCGATGTCGTCAACTGACCAACTGTGCAATGTGTGGGACTGCGACTTGTCGCGTGTGATCAACATTTTTGAAACAATTTAGAACCCGCTCTATACGCGGAAAAGCAGCTGCCTAGAAATGTTCGACTAGCGATCTAACGCTGGGCCTCTTGGGACACAGTGTTACCGCGATATAGGTCAAGCATATAATCCCCCTACACGATTTTATCGTTGCACGTCATTCTTCTTTTATGCAGTTCCTATAGGCAATCGCTCGGAAACGCCGTTGTCCAGAAAGCAACCTTCAAAGTTGGATTTACTGTGACATTCATTGGTCGCGGTAAAACTCCGTCCGTTATTCATGATGCCCGTTCTCGTTACCGCGTATGCCTATGAACTGGACGTGGCTGCATTTTCCACGGGTAGCAACCATTGAAATCGTAGCAGTTATGCGGGCTCCGCTTCCCACGGTTGTTGTCAAGCCAACTGGGTTAGCCACGGTGACCGGTATAGACAATAAACTGCCGGATGACTGCCTCAGTTATGTCATTCATCGTGACGACCTTGCGAGCCGTTTCGTTTAGCATGGCGGGCTCACCACTCAGAGTGAGTGGGTGTAAGTGTGTGTATGTGTGTGTGTGTGTGTGTGTGTGTGTGTGTGTGTGTGTGTGTGTGAGAGAGAGAGTGTGTGGTGTGTGGGGGGGGGTGTGTGTGTGTGTGCGTGTGTGTGTGTGTGTGTGTGTGAGAGAGAGAGAGAGCGAGAGAGAGGTTGGCTGTAAATCGAAAATACATCGAATTTTTATTTGTGGATTGTACTATTACGGTAATAATTGTAATACTGTTTCATCGCTTCGACCTTATATTTATATTATAGTCAGTATAGAGACGCACGCATCAGGTGTAACACATTGCATGACATTGCAGCTGCCGCTGGGCCCGTAGAAAAGCGGCTCGGTGTGCCAATAAAGGCCGAAGATGACTGTAACCCGAATATCGGCGCGCTGAACTTCTCGACGGACGCCACCGACTGTCAGGTGTTCTACATCTGTGACCACGGCTGGCCGAAGATACGTAGATGCCCGGGCAACACGATTTGGACGCCAGCCATCGAGAGATGCGATGACCAGTGCCTCGCCGTCAATGACGACTGCAGCTACGTGAGGGACGAGGAAGCCTGCCTGGAACTGTTCACGGAGACTCCTTCCGGCATTATTGGAAGTGAGAAGCGTTCTAATATAATTCTGTTGCGATTGTTTGCGCTGTTTTTAACATTGTAGTGCATCTACTTCATAAACTTGCTAGACAAACGTCATAATCTAATTCGTAACTGACGCGCATATTGAAAAATTATTTATTTGTGCATTGTATTTAATCCGGCATTCTTTTTCATCTCTTTCTCGCTTTCCTTCGTTCTATCGTCTTATATGATCGCATTCTGTCGCGCCCTCTCTCTCTCTCTCTCCCTTTCGCTCGCTCACTCCTTCCGAGGCACACACACACACACACACACACACACGCACGCACGCACGCACGCACGCACACACACGCACGCACGCACGCACGCACGCACGCACACACACACTCTCTCTCTCTCTCTGTCTCTCGCTCGTTCTTTCTATTGCGCGCTCTCTCTCTCTCTCTCCCTCCATCACCTTCCCTCCCCCTCTTCCTTTTATTCTCGACCCTCATTCCCGTAATTGCTGAACTAGACTATGAAAATGGCACGCGTTGATAGTCAACTTCAATGCAGGAGTCTGCGGCGACCCTGCATCGCTGTGCAACGGCCTCGAGGAATGCGAGGACGGGTCCGATGAGGCAAACTGCGCGCCGGAGTGCGACGATTCGTGCGCATTGCCCGGCTGCAAGTGCAGCGGTGTCGAGACTCCAGGAGGACTTGCGGCGTCTGAAATCCCACAGATGGTTCTGCTCAGCATGGACGAGGCCCTGCGCGTGGAGGATTACAACCATCTCGTCCAGCAGGCATGTTATCCAAAATTCAATAACATCCAAACGTGGCAGATTCGTTAACTTGTATCCTACTGATGTCTCCGCGGCAGACGTACGTGCCTGGAACCATTGTTGAGCGGGTTGTGTAGATAAACTACTCCGTTCGTTCATGCTATCAATAGAATTTGTAGTAACGCGCTTGTTGCTCTTCTCACAGATGCTGAAGAAGATCGGTGCTGACAGAAGGAGAGAGCCGAGGACCAACCCTGACGGCTGTCCAGCTGTGGCCACATTCTTCACCAGTCATCAGTTCACCGACTATGCCGCTGTGCAGAGCCTGTACTCTGAGGGCAACGAGATTGCTGCCCACTCCATCACGTAAGTATCCCGCGACAGACAGACGGACAGAATAAAACTACATCGAGAGAGATGTTATCAAAGAGAAATTACGCTCGTCTTTTCGCCATTTTCTTAATATCCCATTTCACCAGTGCTTACTCACGATGTGCGTACTTGTAGCAAGAGACTTCCCGCTGAATTCTGGAGAGATGCCAGCGACGCTGACTACGTGGCTGAGTTCGCCGACCAGCGCACCTTGTTCAGGGAGTTGGCCGGTATTCCCGACGATCGTATCCGCGGCATGCGCGCTGCCTACCTGCAGACGAGCGGCAACGACATGATCAACATGGCCAAGAGCAACGGCTTCGCCTGGGACTCCTCCTACCCGACGGCCATCATCAACCCTCCTCTGTGGCCGTACACATTCGACTACAAGACCACGGCTGGCTGCGCGATCGCGCCTTGCCCAACAGCACCGATCTCCGGACTCTGGGAAATCCCACTGATTGACTGGTTCGACACCAACGACACTCTGTGTGCCAACGTTGACAGCTGCTACTTCCCCAACGATAAGGAAGAGGCGCTAGTGTTGCTGAGATCTAACTTCGCCCGTCACTACGAGACCAACAGGGCGCCCTTCACCTTGAACCTCCGTGCCAGATGGTTCCTCAACGACGCCTACTACAACATGGAGGCCCTTCAAGAGTTCCTGGACGAGATCCAGGGCAACTCAGACGTCTTCATGGTCACTTACAGCCAGGCGCTCAACTGGATTCAGAATCCCGCCCCGCTCTCAAACCTCGGCGACGTATTCGCCTGTGACTACAGTGACCGCACCCCACTCTGCGAGCACCCCAACCTCTGCGGATACCTGAATATCACCTACGCCCCCAACGACGAGGACCATCCAGGAGATAGGTTCTTCCAGACCTGTGCCGAGTGCCCAGAGGTTTACCCGTGGGTGAACAACCCATCGGGAATCGCTGAGCCATAAGTCAGTGCTCGCGGTGCGCCAGTGATAAATTATTAACAGATATAGTAGCATATACAAGTGAATCCACTTACGAACCAAATCCGCATAGCGCGTGCGCATGCGGAGCTAGGATTGTTATGGCCAGGTTGAGTATTTGCCGAATGACGCTACTGACGCGTAGAATGGGTTCCCGTGTCGGCTAGGCGAGCACGCGATACATTCGTATAGATTATATAGGTTCAGCGATCTTAACCGTGTCGCTATAGAGTAGCATTTACAAATGAGTCCGCTGTGGTGCATGAGTCTTCTTTTCGAGTACTTGGGTTGAATACTATAATCGCTAGCTGGTAGAGCACAAATTGGCACGCTTACATGCAGTACTAGCACATTGACAATGCAATGTTCCACCCGTAAATTTTCTGGTATTTTCTACATAAAGACTGGGTACTTTCACGTAATGGTCAAATATCCGTAGCGCACAATTTCCATCGTTAGTTTGCAGTGGCATTCTCTAACGCACACCTCTTATAGTGCTTGTAATGCGATTATATACCATTTGATAGTAAACTATGGCTAATATGACAATGTTCAAGACAAACGAAATCACTATACAGGCAGTGGTTGTAATCGTAGAGCAAACGTGTATGATATTGTATATTATATCCTTGCAATTTTCTTGCATACTTATTGCATTTTATTGTATTCCGGTAAAGGCATATGATCTTAAATTTGGTTGTAATAAATTGCAATAAAATATCTGCATATATACAAACTACTTTATTTTCCTCCATTATATCTGTTGGCTAAATGCATGTGAATACGACGTAGTGTACGACACATCACTATTTAACACACCAGAGCTCCTCGTATGCCAAATATTTATATGATTCCTATATCTGCTAAAATTCGTTTACATACAGATTTGGGTTAAATTTTAGACTTCAGACTATATTCATGCTCAGCGGCGGATCTAGAGGGGGGGTCCGGGGACCGTCCTTTACCCCCCCTTTAATTTCAAAGTGCCGTAAAAAATTTCATCCCAATTTTTTTAGGGCTAGTTTTTCTGATAAAGATTTACTTATTGTGTGTGTGTGTGTGTTTGTGTGCACGCACGCGCTATTGTTAGAAAATTGTAGTTGTTTATCATATCGCATTTATGGGCCTAGTCGTCATTATGGTGACGTGCGATGATGGACTCCTTTTATGATACAACTATAACTTGTATTCTTATAAAGAGTTTCTTCAATCATTATTACTCGCCGAGACTACCAAAGCGTCATCGCGCATAAGGAAAACGTCGCCTCCATAGTCGCGACATATTTAGTTACAATGAGGTAAACGAGCCACCAGAGTATGCGGCGCTTTTTTCCATCATGTCAAAAGACGCGGAGTAGGACGTGCACATAATTATTTGGCAGCGGCCGGGTATTTGTCACTATTTGATTTGCAGATGCACGCATGCATGCATGCATGACAAACAGCCAGAGCTCACGACAGCCAAGGCAACCCGGGTGTCGCTTGCCGCGTCGATGTCAAAACATCAGCATGTACGTCGCCGAGACGTCGGTGACGCGCTGTTAGACGTTTGTGACAAAATTTATGTTTGCTGGTTATTTTACACGCCCCATGGCACTAATGCACGCAGAAGGTAATTACGTAATTTCCAATTTAAAGTTTTTATTGTCGTTTCTAATCGTTTTAGAGCGCTGATAGGGTATATAAATATGTATATATATATATATATCTATATATATATATAGATATATAGTAATAACTACGTGTCCTGTGTTATTTTGGTTCCAAAATATAATCAGCGGAATCATCTGAAAAAAAATAATTGGTAGACTTATAATCATGGTACCATATTCCCTGCAAAAAAACAGAAGTGTTACATATCTGTGTAAAATCACATGGGCCCTAAAATGGGATCGTGTTAACTCGTTTAAAATATGGCTCTTACCTCCCCTGACAGTTCCCCTTTGACGTAACAACTGATATGCAATTACAAGATTGTAATTTCTATTATAATAAAAAAGACTTGTAAGAAATTAATTTGTTATTGTTATGTTTTCAATTTTAAGAAGTGTGGGTGGTTTTATATACAAATATTCTTGTCTCCTGTAACAAGTTATTATATTTTATGACTTCATCTGCATAATAATAAAATGAATTGCCGTAAATTAAACAAATGTACGGTATATTGTAATATCCTCTGCTTAGAAAATAAACAAACGTAAATTGAGCACGACGTAATGTTGCATATTTGACTTGAGCAAATAATAACCAAACGCAAATTTAGGCAAAGGTGTTTTAAGAATTCCTCAACAAGAAGATGCTACAATATATCCTAATATTGTATCAACTCTTCTACTTGAATAGAAAATAAACGCGTTATAAATAAAACATCTAAAAAAAGGTACATAAAATAATTTTTTTTAGCGCGTATCGCATGAACCAATTGCAGCGTAGAGCAAATGGAACACTCACTGCTGTATTTGCCTATTCACCAACTAACGCTGTCGCGAAGGAACATCTTTCTTGTCGTCGGAAGAAAATGAATGCCAGGGCTCTGAAATATAGTCCTCCTCTCTCGAGCTGTTACGATTTGTAACGGGAATACGTGAATAATTCAGTATACGAACAAGAAACGGCAGTATATAGCCCAGTAAAACGTTTGGCCTATTTAAGAACAGCCGCGTGGAGACGAAAAGAAAATGAGATGTTGGTTTAAAACCATTCACAGCACAAAACAGCGACGTTTTCCTAATTGCCTGCGTCTGGAATATATGTAAACGCGTAAAATCTGGGTTACACGTACTATATCTGTTGTCTTCTACGACATTACGCTGTCGTGTAGGTGTTAACAGAAACTATTTACTCCAATAACGCAACAACAAACGATGCCGTGCCAATACCTCTAATGGTATTTTCCTTTCATATACGATCAAACCCTAGTATATATATATATATATATATATATATATATATATATATATATATATATATATATATATATATATATATATATATATATATAGGACATGTAATAGAGTCTCTATTATGCACTCTTGATATATATATATATATATGCTGTTGCTACTATAGAAAAGCAATAAATATAAGCGACTGATAACATCACCTTTTATACTTCGCAGTTCATTATTAAAAAATTTATATCCTTAATAGCGCTCTTATGTAATGTTATGAAGCGTAGACATACATGACGAGCTATAGACTTCGCGGAAGTGTAGCCGCCATCCACCGTTTTGTTTGTGTAATTAGAAGTCGTATGATTTTTTTCTCATGTATTTTCCTTAACAAATTATTAATGTGTGATCACTAAGTGTTAGCGGCTCTATGCGCCTATCGCGGCCAAGTCCGATGGTTCCAAGTACCATCGCGAGATAGCACGCGTAAGCACCGAGGTAGTCCATTACTAGTGATCCGCCGTTGTCCGTGTCAGAATCCTCTCTTACCGAGAAAAACAATCCGACTGGCCTTCAGAGAGACCGAATGTCTCACGGCACAAAAGTGAGGTTATTCAGACTGTACTCTCTCAAACCTTATCTGTGAGCTCTAATGAACGCAAGAGCTTAACAAGGCGTTCGAACGCATCTACGGACAGACCAGATGATGATGACGTAGATGATGCTCACTCACACTGACCGCGCTAAAAAACGCGTTCCGAAAAAACCACGCCCTGCGAAATCCGTGGAAGCGCTCATATGGGTGAATAAATGAATTATCCGAGCGCTTTTCAGGTAAGTAGTCCTTTCGAGAGTAAGAAAATACCGACCTCCAGCTGTGGCGTGTACATCAAAACTACAAGGCGTCTCAAGGAGACGGGCGTCATCATCGTGCCGCTCCAAAAATAATTACCGATTCCATGATTTCTGAAAAAGCGAGTTATTCGGCAATTATTCAGTGTCATGGCACGCTTTTATCGCACGGCGTCCGACAAATTAATCATAAGAAATGACACGTAGACCTATCGTTAATATTTCGATTATTCATTCGAGCTGGTTAATGGTATTGACGTCACGAAAAAAACCCGTGCGAATAACCTCAAAACATGTTAATTTGACACGTTACACGTCACCTAGTGCCTATGAGAAATTGTCAATGTTATTGAATTTATCTGACACCTCAACGCATGTATAGGCAAATCGTAGAGTAAAACTAGAGCAAAAATTTCCTTTCATATACGCGTCAAAATCACATTGAAATCGATCACTTTCCCTCTCGGAAGACGAATTGCCGCGCATGACCCATAGCCCTATATTTTAAGGAAAGCTGACTGCTGTCAACGCAGGTAGACAAGTGTGCGTTCGCTATAATAATGGCTGGTTTCTTAACAACTTTACGACGGCGCAGTGTAATGAGCCAGGAAACCGAATCCGTTAGTGACTTTGACGCCCGCAGGCCACCAAGTGCTCCGTAGCCGCGAAGTTTGATACAGAAAGGGAAAAGTAGTTCACGAGGGTTGGGCGGTTGTATAAAAACTGCAAGGAAAGTACGAAGGCGTCAGTCTCGTCCAAACGAGTGAACGCAACACCATGAAGTATTTGGTGATCTCTGTGTTTTGCGCACTGGCATTTTATGGTGAGTTAGCTCTGCGTGAAAACGCATTAACTTTCTAAACACGAATGCGCGAGCGTGTGTGTGTGTGTGTGTGTGTGTGTGTGTGTGTGTGTGTGTGTGTGTGTGTGTGTGTGAGTGTTGTGAGTGAGAGAGAAGAGAGAGAGAGAGAGAGAGAGAGAGAGAGAGAGCGCGAGAGAGAGGTTGGCTGTAAATCGAAAATACATCGAATTTTTATTTGTGGATTGTACTATTACGGATAATAATTGTAAACTGTTTTCATCGTTTCGAACCTTATATTTTATATTATAGCGTCAGTACTAAGACGATGCAGAGCATCAGGTGTTAACACATTGCACTGAGCATTGCAGCTGCCGCTGGGCCGTAGAACAGCGGCTCGGTGTGGGCAATAAAGGCCGAAGATGACTGGTAATCCCGAACATCCGGCGCGCTGCCTGAACTTCTCGACGGACGCCCACCGACTGTCAGCGTGTCTACATCTGCAGCGCACGGCTGGCCGACAGATACGTAGATGCGCGGGCAACACACGATTTGGACGCCAGCCATGCGAGAGATGGGATGACGCAGTGCTGCCTGCGTCAATCGACCTGCACGGCTACGGCGAGGAGACGAAAGAAGCCTGCCTGGAACTGTTCACGGAGACTCCCTCCGGCATAATTAGAAGTGAGAAGCTTTGCAACGGTTCTAATATAATTCTGTTGCGATTGTTTCCGCTGTTTTAACAATTGTAGTGGCATTACTTATAAACTTACTAGACAAGCGTCATAATCTAATTGCGTAATGACGCGCATATATGGAAAATCTTTTATTTGTGCTTGTATTTATTTGTTGGGCATTGTATTTTAATCCGGGCATCTTTTTCTCTCTTTTCTCGCTTTTCCTTCGTTCTCTTCGTGTTTTATATCGAATCGGCATTCTGTCACGCCTTCTCTCTCCTCTCTTCTCTCCTCACCTAAGTCCCGTCGAAATAAACACACACACACAAAACCAAAAACAAACACCACACACACAGCACAACAGCACGCACGCAACAGCAACGGCTAAACACACACAACACTCTCTCTCTCTCTCTCCGTCTCTCTCTCCTCTCGCACCTATCTCTCTCATCACTCCGATCTCTCATCATCTGCATCCGCTCGTTCTTTCTTTTGCGCGCTTTCTCTCTCCCTCTTCTTC